AGAAGAAGTCGTCGTCGTCGTAGTAGTAGTAGTAGTAGCAGCAGCAGCAGCAGCAGCAGCAGTAGCAGCAGCAGGAGTAGTAGTGGTAGTAGTAGTAGTAGTAGTAGTATAATAGTAGTGGTCGAAAAGTACAAGCATCGTAGCATAGTTCGAAATACATTACAGCAACAGCAGCAGCAGGGGTAGCACCAGCAGCAGCAAGAGACTGTCACATGGCATGTCGTCGTTCTAGTAGCAGTATATATGGTAGCAGCAGGTATATTATATTCGTAGTCGTCGTTGTAGTCGTGTAGTAAAGTAACGACAACCGTATGTAGTTGTGGGTAGAGAAGTATACCAGTATATGAATATATAGTTCCAAAAACAGTACGAATATGACACCAATACACCAAAAACACAAAGCTTTTTATAAACCCTCGATCTATAAACCCATATATACAAACACTTCGCCTGCCCTTTCAAAAGCTTGTCGAAAGCCACACCACCCTTAGAACACCTTATTGTGAATTCTGCAGCAATCACTTTAAATCCCGAAACCAGCCCAGTTTAACCTAAAGCCCGAAACCCCACCCCCAAACCAAATGCAAGGCTTCGTCTGGAGCTGGGCTCCCGATCGGGCCGTGGCCGAAATCTCGTGGGTATAGGGGTTTTATCTAAGGTAAGGGTTTAAGGATTAGAAAGGGTTTAGGGTTTAGGGCTAGACATATTCTATGTCTAGCACAATCTACTCGAATATGAGTCTGCTATAGTACGAGTCGTAGATGATCATACATTATGTATGATCATCTACGTACAGCAGCACAGCAATGGTAGCAGCAGCAGCAGAAGCAAGCAGTCGTGGTAAGTAGTATTGTCGTCGTAGTAGTAGTAGTAGTAGTAGTAGTAGTAGTAGTAGTAGTAGTACAGATGACACATATAGTATTATATAGGACTGTCATATACTTTAGTACTATATACATATAGAAATATCGTCGTTTTATATATAGAAGAATATTCAGATCTCCTATAGGGTTTGGGGCTTAGGGTTATATAGACTAATAGCTACTTCGGGCCAAGGAAGTACATGCTGTGCACATATGCATGTTGTGTTTACAGTGCATGCATGCATTCATGCATGTATGCATGCACAAATAGGTATGCACACACAGGAACATATGTATATATATATCATATATATATATATCCTATGTCTTGATATCATGCATATACGTATGCACATATTGCATACACATGCACACAGTTCATGCATGGATGTGCATGCAGAGTTTCAAGGCATCTGGCACATTCGGGACGAGGTCGACTGCCATTGCAAGTTTAGGAGAACTTGAAGTCCTGTGTGGTCCTGGGGCTTGGGCTTGGCATTGCTAAGGTTCCTAGGGTGCACTACTTTATGGAACCCAATACAAACCCGATGCTATACCCACAAGCGGGAACCTCCTTCTCTACTTGAACCAGGTATCTCTAGACCCATAACACTCGTGAGCGACCCAGTCCTTTGCTGCAACGACGAGCATCCAAGCTCTCAGAAAAACTACGTGCTGGCCCACAAGAAAGCAGCTGGCTGTAAGATTGGGTTTAAGGTTTATGGTTTAGGGTTTGGGGTCTTTCTCGTGAACACAACGGTCTCAGCTTCGGCCCACACATCCATGGGATCTCACCCTCGAAGCTCGAAGCCACCTGCCCAGAGCTTCTTTAGACAAGGTATTCCTGGCTGCTACCTACTTGCTTGTACTGATGCTGCCACGGATCCTCATCCATGCGGAAGGGTGGCCACGACTCTGCATCCACGAGGTTGCAATAGATGTCCTTAGGTTTCGGGCAAGGCAATTTGTTGGTGCTTGTTGTATGTTCTGTAGGTAGTGCAACTCCAGTGCAAGCAAGAGTCTACCCTGGAACAACCCCAGAGCCACAGTGTCCGGTGATAAACCTCGGTGCGACCGGGAGCTTGATTAAGATAGGCTCAAAAAGACGGGTATACGTGTAAACGGCAGCATAGACAAACCTATCGGCGTGTCGTGTGGCGGCCCATCCAACTCGAACCTCCAAAGGGAAAGACGACAAGAGAGGGAGGAGAGAGAGAGAGAGAGAGAGAGAGAGAGAGAGAAGCCTGGGTTGAATCCAAGGCACTGTGCTGGCCACTGCACAGATGGAAGCTTGCTGTCTTTAACAAAATCCAGGCCAGTATGAAGTGAACCTGGGATCCCGAGTGTATGATTTCTCCACATGCACTATCTACAATCTATACATAGCAAAGGGACTACAAATGAGTGCATAATGCATGTCGAGCACGGATGCTGCAGACATTGTATCTGGTATATCCACATGGCTCCCACACCCATGGCTCCCGGGTCGAAGGTTCACTATCGGAGTAAGATCAGCAACAGACGATCATGTAAAGTAAGAACTGAAGCTGAAGCTTGACAGGCTCGTGTTGGCAATCGCAATAAGCACTCTGGGCGACTGCAATTTGGCGGTTGCAGATAAGCACAAGAATCCACATTAAGTTCCGGTATACAATTCTCAATCAGAACGAAGCGGTGGCACCTGAGGACCGGCTCCGTTGCCGTTTCCTCCATGCCAAACTCATTCGGCTGTACCTGGCTGCAAACAATGATCGATGGTTTGGCGATACTCTGCTGCACTTCAGATGACTGCAATTTGGAGTTTCTTCACACAAGCACACTTCGGAGGATTAGCAGCCATGTTGCTGCAGCTTCTCAATGCATGCGGTCCCCGGGTGCTCTTGATTGTTACACTTACAAGCTTGTTGTATTGATCGCATCGATGGGTTTTGGCGTGAGGGACCACCTGCATGAACCCCACACGGAACAGTTTGCACGTCCCGACACACAAGGTTTTCCCTGTGCATGCAGCACATGCCCCAAATAACTTTGGCACACATTGTGGCCAACCCCTTCGATGCAAACATCGCTCAAGCATCAAGCTGTGTCTCTAATCCTCGGCTCGGGCTTTTCGCCGTCGCTGGACTCCCGAATAGACATACGATGGGTCCCGGCATGTCAGGCATCCTTTGGAGCCCCAACGGCACCGTGGGCACCCCAATTCGCGGGCTGCATCATCAGTAGCCCCTGCTGCTGCACCTCCACGTCCTCGGCCTTTTCCCCGTCCACGGCCACGGCTGGTACCAGGCTCGCCGTCTGGCACCGTGTCCTCCGGGGCCTTCGCCTTCGACTTCGCTGTCGCCTTCGTTGTCGTGGCTTTCGCCTTGGCTTTCGCCTTCGCTTTGCAAGCAGCAGCCTTGCCTTTCGATCCTTTCCCCCTGCCTTTAGCCGTAGCTTTAGCCGTAGCTTTAGCTTTGGGTTTCGGGACATCTGCAGCATCCGGGTCTCCCTTCTTAGCCGGCTTTGCCTTAGCTTTACCCTTGGTTCCCCGCTTAGCAGGGCGTTTCAGAGTTCGAAGGGCATTCTGCTCCTGGGCAGTCACCATCGGCTCTGCAACCTGCCAGCATGACCCATATACTCTCAATAAGCAAACTCATGAGTCATGGGTGTTGGCACATACAATTTAAACGACAAATGTTATGTGCATATCATCGATCGAAGCTACCTCGGGCTCGCGTCGGTGCAAGGGCTTTCCAGGCAAAACGAGGGTCTCGGCTGAGGAGAGGCCGTGCAAAGTAGCCGAAGACTTCGATCGGGTTCTCGGAACCCAGGCTTGTGTGTCCTTTATCCACAAATGTGATGTATCCAAAGCTATGCACTCATGGCTCAACAGAAACAACCCACCCATGATGCCTCCTCATCAGGATTGGCTGCTGGGCTTGGTCGCTTGGCGCGAGCACGGCGAAGCACAGAACCTTTGGGCCGTTCGGGTTCAGGGCTGTCCTCGATCAGGATGGACTCGCCTCAGAAATATCAATGATATGGGGCACCAAATTTATCCTATCTATAAGCTCAGGCGAGTTGCCACGATGCAGTGCAGGAGCCGGCTTCGGGTACCTTGCTTTGTGCAACAGGATGACATTCTATTCTATAGCTTCAGGCTTCAAGCTTCATTCTAGCAAGATTAAGAATTAAAGCAGCCCAAGTACCGAGTAATCGAGTCTCGTAGTGACTCGATCTGTGCATTGAGGTCGGCGAGGCGATCACGTTTCTGTTGCATTCCAAAACTGCTACTTCCTGAACGAGCAGGCACTTCTAGAATCACATCATCGGCATCCTGATCTTCCTCCTCTTCTCCTTCCTCCCCGGTACAATCCTCCTCCTTCTCCTTGTCGTTTGCAGCACCTTCGCCCTCCTTCTCCTTGTCGTCTGCAGCACCTGCGTCTGCCGGCACTGAGCCCTCATCATTATTATCATTCTTTGCATCATCATCATCCTCCTCCTCTTCATCCTCCTGTTCATCCTCCTGTTCATCCCCATCCCCCTCATCTTCCTCCCCGGATCCATTCTCCTCCTCATCCTCACCATCATTTTCCTCCGGTCGCCGATTCCTGCTTGCAGCTTTGGCCCACTCCAATCGTCGGAGCTTGATGATCTTGAACAGCTTCTGAACATTGTCTTCCTTAATGAAATAGGCACATAAACAAGATTTGATATTCTATCGACACTCGTGCACCGATCACAGCTATAATTGCTAATCGAAGTAGCTTTGGGAGTCTGCTTCCGGCGTGCCGAATCCCTCTGCCGCTTCAAAGCAAAGCTAAGCATTGTCCTCAGAGACCATGCATCAATCCAAGGTTGCCTCTTCTCCTCCGGCACATGGTTCATCTTCTTGTAGAGCGACTTGACCTGTACAGGGTTGGCGGGATTCAAGGAGATTGATCGGGTGAAACAAGAAATGCTAGCTCACTATATGGCAACCATTAAAGTCACGGGCCTCGGGCTCCAAAGTCCTTACCGAGACCTTCTGGGAGGGCATCCATTGGACGAGCACTTTCAGGGCACTGAAGTTCAAAGACAAAGCTCTTGTAGTAAGCAAAGCATTGTCGCCAAGGGCATCAGCAGGCTGCTTGATCCAGTCCAACCCCTTTCGGAACCGTTTCCTCAAGATTGGCAGGGATTCCAGCCGTGCTGAAAGGCGCTCGGCACGATCATCGGCCATCATCGTGAGATAAGCTCGCTATGACTAGAGATCACAGCTTGAGTCCCATTATGGTGCAGCAATTACATGTAAAAGCCCACAGCACACTGAGACAACAGGCTCTCGAATCGACATGCTCGCAGAACGAGTCTACTGACATATAAACATGATTGGGCACTTGCCGCTCTCGGATCAAATCTCGGCTGATAGCCCATCCAACGACCGAAGCCTGAGGTGAGTGATGAGTTTTGGCATATGAGAAAGTGCTGCATGCTCAAAATCGGCATCGCAAAAAATAATGCAGCCACGAAGCCCAAACCGATGCCGACAAAGCCATGCATGCCTTGTCCACGAAGTCCCCCGAAATCCTGACAAGTTCTGTAGAACCCAATGCCAATTATTGAAACAAATCATCAAGTATTCATGCCAGTGTGATCCCCAAACCGGTCCTTCATCTGAGGCTGATCTTCGGCGACATGTGCACAGCGAGCACTGCAAAAGAAATCCCTGCCTATTAGTTTTCGGTCGGGTACATACGATTAGGGTCTTATACTTATAACTCTATCCCCAAGTGTCGTCTAGAGCTAGCCAAAAATGTATAATCCCAAAGCTGCTTCGAATCATTGGGCACAAACCCCCCCCACTACACCACTAGATAGGGTTTATGTGCATATATTTCTATTTACGAATGACATAGCATATGTGCGAAGTGCCTCAGCATGACTGTCAAGTCGTGCACAAATCCTTCTGATGTGGAAAGCAGCTGCGATCGGCCTCGGATTAAGGAATGGCTTGGGAAAGGCTAAGTTCATTCAGTTTAATCCCATAGAAATATGGCATAAGATGTGAGATTTCGCACTGAACTGCTGATAATGGTCACAGTGCCTATTCTGTTGTTGGCCTACTAAGCGGGAGCTTCATATCGCACTCCTTTTAAGAAGTCGCCCCGTATTGTGCGGGCCCCCCTTTTTTAAGGCACTTAAGCGTTACAGGCTAAATACAAGCCACAAGAAGCAGCTACTATGGAGCCTATGGGTAGCCTCATGATCCTGCAGGCATTTGCGTCGGCGATGCAATCGCAGCGTCTGCACTTGCCTGTGTGCCGATAACATGCTGGCACCATGGAGCTTCAAGGTCCACCTTTTCTGAAGACTCGTGCCCATCCTGAGGTGGATAGTGGGCGTTCTGGTGAGGCATGCGCTTTCGATGTCACTGCCAACATGCCTCGCTTAGATTGCGCAGCTCTGCAAAGCCAAGAGCATGTCGACACCAAGTTCGCAGCTGAAGCCAGAGTCGCGGTACGTCGGGCCCGTCCTGTCGGTGCCGCCGCATTGGACCCACGCTGTCGCACAAGTCTCGTTTGCCAGACGCTTCAACCGGCAAGGTGACCGTCAGCATCGACAGAAGCAACAACTGAGCCCTGTTCTGAGAGTCTGAGAATCGAGATCCCACAGACTGCCAGCAGCTGCAGGGGAGTCCCGAGCCCAACAGCGTCTTCTTGCGGAATGAGACAGCGAGGACTCTCCAGATGCTGCGTGCCCGATACAGACAGGCAAGAACAGTCATGTCTGCGTCTGAAGCAGGTGTCTTGACACGGCACGAGCGATGTAGGCCAAGGTAACTGCCACAGCTGCTCTCTTGTAGTCCTTGTCCTTAGTCACAGCAAATGACAACAATATCAGTTATAGTCAAGTTATACTCTAGGCATACTGCATACTTGCTATCGCAAAGTTAGTGCCTTAGCGAAAAACTCCTACTACAGAGACGAAAGACTGCGTTCGAAGGACTTGAGAAGAGGTGATTCTTTTCCGAATGAGGGGAGTTGACAGGTCCCCTCTAAGACCCGGATCACAGAACCCTAAACCCTAAACACAGGAGTGCCATAGTCTAGTCTTTGCGGGGGTGCCCTCAGAGGAGGTTTAGGGTTTAGGGCTTAGGGTTTGGGGGCCCTAAACTCCCTAAACCCTAATTTAAACCCTAAACCCTACATGACTTATCATTATGCATCTCCATGAGCTATTCGGAAGGACCGACCTAGATGCACTGAAAGATGCTCCGACCAATTCACTCCAACCCTGCTTCCACCCAAAGGCCTATCCTAACATGATAAAAGCAGTCCCAACAGAGCCCTCAAGCATTGAAGGTATTGTTTATTGAACATGTCTACATCCCATATGATAGAATCCCTTGCAGCAGCCTGTATGTAAAAGTTTATGAAACCCTTTGAAACCCCAAAACAGCTTTAGAACCTTACATGCCTGAAACCCTCGATCAACCTGACCAGCGGCTTCGAGCACGGTCCGCAGCGCCAAAACGTTTGCCAAGGCCACGAAGAAGCTGAGTGCCACGGCGATGGCCTGTAGGATTTAGGGAGTATGGGTTTAGGGTTTAGGGTTTAGGGAGTAGGGTTCGGATTTCCAGGCTTCTAGAGATGAGGAGTGGGGAAGAAGTTGGGTCGACTTGTGAAGTGTTCTGAAGGCAAGTGCCTTGAGAGTTCTCACTTCTATAGATGGGCTGAGGGTACAGGCTAGAATCTGACCCTCTACCCACAAGAACCAACAATCCCTAAACCGCTAACCCCTAAACCCCAAACCCACCCACCCCTCCACAAAAAAAACTGCCGCGCAGTCGGCCGAAGGTTGAGCCGTGCCTGGTCCACGGCGCCTGCATCGGAGGAGAAGCTGCTCCAGATGGTTGGAACCAGGGTGTAGATCCTGGGGCTTTGGTTGGTTTAGGGTTTAGGGTTTTAGGGGCTTAGGGCTTAGGGTTTAGGGTTTAGGGTTTCGGGGTTGGGTTTAGGTTTAGGATTTTCCGTTTCGGGCTTTGGTTTAGAGTTTCGGGTTTTGGGTTGGCTTGTGGCCTATGGATTGCGGCAAGAAGCCTTCCACGATAGCTTCCCTACTTTCCGGCAGGATCTGAGGCAATGTGACAAGGTCATAGCTGCTGGGGCCCTGTATCGTACCTATAGTCTCCATTGTAGTTCCTTTTGGGGGTTACCTTTTAGGATCCTCAATATAGAATTGGCTAAACGAAAAAAAGGAACTACAATGGAGACTATAGGTAAAGTCATACCAGCCCAGGCATCTTAGAAAATGAAGCACGAGGAAACACCAACCTGTAGCGCCCTGGGTCATGAGTCGGCCTAGGTTGGAGGGTGAGTTTGGAGACTACAGCCCTCACGCGTAAACTGCAAAACCCCAACCACTGAAAACTGTAAAGCCATGGGCGAGAAAAAAACAAAGCTTTAAGATATCGTTAAGCCCCGGGTTCTGGGGGCTAGTTGTAGTCTTAGGCATGCTGTCGGAACATGGGTTTGTTTGGGGCCTTGCGGCTTGGGCAGTTTGAGCTGCATGGCTACGAAGCCGCTAGGGTTGCCTGGACTGTTTAGGATGGTCCTGCTTATTCGCTTGCATTCTCAAGTATGAGCCCCACACCCTAACCGACCCCTTGGCGAATTTGCTTGAGTCTACTATTAGCCATCCAGGCAGCGGAACGAAAATGCTGCAAGAAGTCAGTGTTGCTGTGTCTGCAGACCCCCCCCCCCCTCCAAAAAACGCTCAGCCCAGCCCAAAACGCCAAACTCTGAACCAAGATCCCATATGTGAAACCTAAACCATAAAAACAAAAAAAACAACTCTCCCAACCCTGAACCCGGAAACCAGCTTTCCAGCACTTTGGCGAGTCTCTTCCCGAAGGAAGAAACCGAAATAGCTTCCCAGATCCTGTCCGCCGGCTGCAAGGGCTCCCCAAACCCCACGAAGGGCTCCCTAAACCCGAAAAAGGCTAAACTCTAAAACGGGCTCTGCTCCCTAAACAATGCAAACAATTCCCTAAACCCTAAAAATGGATCCGCAAACCCTACAATGGGCTCCATAAACCCTAAAAAGGGCTCCCTAAACTCCTAAACCCTAAAAGGTTAGAAAGCGGGCAAGAAGCGGGGTGGACTAGGAACGGAGTTTCAGGCGTCCTATAGGCTTCACCGCTTTTTAAGTGAAGAGTGGCGGGACCCGAAACCCTAAACCCTGGCCCTAGCGCAGGTTTAGGGTTTAGGGTTTAGGGTTTTACATGATTTTGGTTCGGGCAGACTCTGGTGGAGAGCGGTTCGAAGTCGAGTTGCTAGCGCTGCACCGCATACCAGGACCCTCCTTGTACCCTCAAATAGGGGTATATGCTCCCAGGTAATGGGTGGTTCGGGCCAGGGTAGATGGAGGGTGTATATAGGTACAGGCATACTTAGAGGTTTATGGGACTTAGTGAAAAGGCTCGTGCATCTTCTAGCCTTCTAGCCTGAGGTTACCAGCAGATATAACTGACTAAAGTTGCCTTGCTTATAACATACTTAAACAATCCCTCGATCCATGAAGTAGGAGGTAATACTTAAGTCTGGAAGTTCGATCTTCTCTTTATAGCCCGTCTTCGAACCCTCTACAAACAGAGCCCCGGACCCTAAACAGTCACTGAGCCACTTAACCGGATCCTTCTGAGACGACTCTGGTTCTGGATTAATTAATGGGTCGCTCCAAAAGGTGGGCTCCTCCGCAATTACAGTGTAACGGCACTTTCAAAGGGAAACAGTAGCACCTGAACCCTAAACCCTAAACCCGGCTCCCAAAGCCCAAAATCACAAACCCTGCACAGGACCACTCCCCTGATTGGGACTTGTGCCTTGCGACTTGAAGGTATTTGTCACCCAAAAACCCTAGTAAGAAACGACTTCGGGTCAGCAGAGAGGGTTCGGCAGAGGTCTCTACAGACTCTGAAGTAATTAAGATCAAAACCCTAAACCCTAAGACCCCTAAACCCCCAAACCCTAAACCGATAGCCTCGCATCTTCAAGCCGACAGGGCTAGATTGCAGTGTCCCAATTCCCAGTAAGGTCCTACGGGTCCATGTGCCCAACATCGTATATGCTTTGGCCGCCGGGAACCTATGTGGGGACGACTTAAAGCCAAAGTACACACTACTTGGGACATGGATCCTTATAGGGACGTTTCACGCAGAAGCTTATACATGTTGGGGCTCAA